CTGAAAATATCCGATTTTTCGTCTCGTCGAAAATTATCTGGATCTTTTAGAAAAGCTGGATCAACATAACTTATAATGCCAAGGTCAGTCCGTGAATGAGTATGATCATTGGAAAGTTTCGAATATCCTAAATCCGAAATTTTAATCTTTCCTTTATGCACGAGAATATTATTATGATTCTACAAATTGATATAAGAAATAATTATATATAACAAATTCGGCCTAAATTAATAATTTTTCAGTAAGTTAGAATGGATATATATATTTACCAAATCCCGATGAATAATCCCTTCATCGTGTATACATTTTATTCCTTCTGCAAGTTGTCTAGAGAGACAGAGTTTATCATTGCCATTCAATTTCGAAAAATTTGATTTGAAATAAGCTTCAAGAGTTCCGCCATCAGCGTATTTCAAAACAAGCATATATTTTTCCGAAACAGGATCTATGTATAAATTCATTTAGAAAATGAAATTTTTAGAAAAAAGATAGTATGTTTATTTTTACCTTTAGTGATTCCATAAAAACGAATAATATTTGGGTTGTAATTAACCTTGATCAAGATTTTTAACTATAAAGAATAAGAAAGTTAGTTTTGATTAAATCAAAGATATATTTTAAAAACATGAATATTAAATTTAGTACGTACTTCTTTAATAAATTGTACACAAGAATCCTCTTTGCTTTGGCCGTTTTTTATATATAGGCATTTCAAGGCTACCGTTTTTCCGCATTTCAATTTTGCTTTGTATACTTCACCAAACGCTCCATTTCCAATTATATTTATATCATTGAACCCTTTAAACTCAAAAAATTTTATTTGATTTTCTGATATTATAGTTTCTAGCCATCTATTCGCGTTCGACGAAAATAATGATAATGACATTTCGATATCGTTGCGTTGTCGTCAAATTAATTGAATCAAAGATAGAAATGGCGATACGCTTGCTGTTACCGTTACCCAGATTTTCTGCTTTGTGCGAATGATCTTTAGTGTGACAGACTGTATGTCGTATGTATGTATGTCGATATCGCATTACATGTACATGTATCGGAATTAGCGCCGACTGTACATAGAATTTACAAAAAATTATTGTTCAAGTAGGTAAACTTTGAATTTGTTGTGACAATTACGTAATTTTTTTATTGTTCCTAATTGCTAGAAAAATAGACTTTGAAAAAAGTAATGATTTATTTTCTATTATTACATTTACTATTTATTAATGTTACTTATGCTTTTTCACTTCGCCTTTTGACTATATTTTTCGAATTTTCATAGAATGCGACGCAGAATCAACCATTTGTATAATTTGTATAGACATCGATGTATACAAAAGATGTGCATACGTATTAATCCGACTACTTTTGTTTTTATATTCTAGCGCTAGGGATCCAAACCAGTCTTCCAGATCTTTTCTTTTTATTTAGCTTGGGTGTCATATTACACAAATTTTAAAAAAAAATGGTTGATCACCAAGTGTCAGTTGTAATGTTCATTCACCCACGCGACTGTTTAAATTAATGTTAAGTTAGTTTATCGACAGGAATCAAAATTGCCTTCCCGACATTTTTCATTCAGTTTTCCGTATTTTTCGCATTTTTGTCTTTTCATTTTATTTGTATTGTATCTATTTGCCGAATTGATAGCAAATGGAGGCATAACTAAGTATCACGTAAATTTTGTATGTTAATAGTAGAAGAAAATAAAGTTTATAACATCATTAGCAAGTTTTTGTGCAGGATTTTTATTTAAAGCTGTAATGAGAGTGGTCACACATTTTATACGCTACAAACGAGTGAAAAAAGTGTCCAGCTTCTATGTCTAGTGTGTTATTTTTTTTGATATTTTATTATATCACTTCGAAACAAAGAAATAAACTATTATGACTATACAAAAACAAAATTAAAAAATCATTGTTTATTCAACAAAACTTTTATGAATTAAAGAATCATCTGTGTTAATCAAAAACAATAGAACACCCTTGGATAAGAGGGTAGAATTTATTATTAAATGTTTTATATTTTCATTGTTTGTTGAAAAGAGGCTTAATGATATTAAAAAAATATCTCTGCAATAATAGACAGCAAATGGGGAGGATATTAAAAATTCTTTGATCATTAATTATTTATCTTGTTATATAAGAACTATTATTAGCGTTAGTCGCTAGTTATATCGCTTGATTTTTTAATGCTTAGAAAGAAACAATTGTTAGCAAAAGTATTGAATATCGCAGGACAAAATTAACGTTAATGTTAAAAAATATCGTCAATCCAAACCCTAACACTAACCCTTGTTCAAAAAAAATAGTGATAGACCTCCCCCTATGAAAAGAAATAACAGATATTTGTTCACGTTTTTATCTATCTACAGTATAGAAAATAGAAATGCAAGATAATGAACGTATTTGTCCAAAGTTTATTCATGCAAAATATTGATGTATAAATTGAGAAGAATGCAAGGATATGTAGACGAATTTCAGACAATAGGTCATTTCTTTTTTCATCGGACTTGAGATTCTATATTTATGTCGAATTGATAGATAGTACATGTAACATTGTTGCTACGTATTTCTTGTTATATGTTGCTGTTTTTTTTTTGTAATTTAGCTTTTAATCGGAGAAGAAAGACGAGAACAGTAATAGCCTGTCCGATATCACGAATAAATTATGAAATAAAAAAGTAAAGAAAATTTGTTCCTGATAAAAACTGATGATGAAATTATTTAGCAACGATTTCAAATGCTTTTCAACTTAGAGGTTGGATCTGGATATCCGTTAGTATGATACATACATATGTATAAATATCCGGATATCCGTTGAAATTTAATAAGCAAACGGACAATTCAGGAGAACCTCTAATAAACTACAAAAACTATAGTAAAACATGGAAGTTTATCTGGTTTAACAGAATCTGAGTAATGTAAACTATCGTGAATAAGCACCACTTAATCGACATAATTTAGGGTTCAAAAATAAGGTGGCATTTATTTCTGGACATTTTTTGTAACTTAAAATTTGTATCTGTGCTGGACAATGACCGAATCATTTGCTATTTTTCGATATATTAAATGTCATGGTCATTTGAGTTATTATCCTTCATTACGATTTTCGTTGCTTCAATACTCGTACTAATATGAATTAACTCGTTCACTTTTTAATCGTTATTATGAGTATAATAATGTCATTTTACTATAAAAAATTTTCATTTCCTAAATGATACCCAAATCTGTACGTTCTTCCTATACTGTTGCTAAAAAACTACTGTAATTGCTTAAGCGAAATTGAGGAATTGAACGGAATATAGGGAATTATAGAACATGAATAAGCCGAGGAAATGGGCAATGATATGATCAGTGAACTGATTCAGATTAAACAATTAATTTAAATAGTAATGCTTAGATATGATTTCATAACATTGGAGTTGTTTTCTCTACCTGTGATTGTAGCAAAGATCTTTTTATTTTTTTTTGACATTCATCTATTTCTTGATATTCAACAGAATTGAGTGGCGCTTAAATAAAAATTATAACTTGTCAATAGAAATTTTCATGGTGGCTCGTATTAGGGATTGGACCCGATATAAAAAATGTCATCCGGGTCATTGTAAGCTGAAAAGTCGAAATATAAGGGAGCGCCGTTTATACGTGAGACAAAATTGTCGTAATTCTGGATTATTTTTTCATTCTTCTCAACGGAAATTACATTTTTGATTTTTTTTTAATTAGTGAAAGTGAATACCTATCTACCCTGTGATAAGAATTTGTTCGAACTTGCGAGCGCAATTCAATTTCAAAATCAGTTTACGGTGTATTAGGTTATATTGATCACGCATTCATGAAAGATATGAAAATTTTGAATCGACTTTTCATTATCATTTGTGACAAATGCATACTATTTGAAAGACAATCACTAGAGATAACCAACGCTATAAGTATCTGAGTTCGATAATGTATGAAGAATGTAATTATAGCTACAATTAAACTCTAAAGTTTCAACCACCCGAATGAATAGTAAATGAACTATCAAATTTATATTAGTGTTCGTAACCATTTAGTGACAGGCTGGCTAGCCAGTCGGATGTGTCAGCTTGAAACACGTCAGTAGCTGGTCCAACCGGCTTCTAAATTTAGAGTGGTTTCGAAAGCTAATTTATACAACACGCTCAGCTCATACATTAATACACATATAGAAAATGCATAACGAAGTCTAGATGCACTTCAGCACGTGAAAAACCATCTACAATATTAAAAGAAAAATGTATCAAATGATTCCTATATCAATTTTGAACATACTTCATATGACATCCCAAAATAACTGTAATTTGGTGGTATCCAGCTTTCTTCTATAATCTCTAAATCAATAATATCTGAACTAACATTTGTTGGAGTTCACTTTACATACTCCCAAATCTTGTAAAACGATATTTAGTAATGCTGTTATTCATCTTCACATATCTAGTAATAACGAAATGTGGATAAAAAGCGAAATATGTTATAATTACATATATATATTGAATGATATCATTTTATATATTCGGATATTGAAGAGTATATTATGTTACAAAGTGATGACACCAACAATTAATAAATAATGGAGTTTGACTACAAATGGACAATTGAACTATATTTTAGTGTGATAAGATATTTTTGGCAATTATATTGCGATTTAATGCCACTAATGCAAATTACTTTTGTACTTGGTACTTATGTACTAAAAGAGATTTTAGAAATAAATATAGTGGTAAAGTATATACTATCAACAAATTACATCTTAGTAAACATTATTTTCTTAATAGAAATAATAAATTACTATTCTAAGCAAATTTTTAGTTAGAATAATTGTTGTTAATAATGAATATTTAGAGTTATATAGTTTTTATACTAAATTCAATAAATGTAAAAATGAAAAAATTAGTTTTTAATAAATACAATAAATTATACTTATAAGTAATATAACCAAATTCAAAGTTATAAATCAATCAATACGTACTAGTGAAATTAATGTCGAAAGAAGTTCGCAAAGTGTTAGCAACTCGCCGGGCTACTGTTGGAAAAGTAAGTAATAGCGAAGCCAATTTAGTAAGATTAGGTAAAGCGGACAGGAGCTGTTGACAAGGTATTCGCCCTATTGTGCGCGGTTCAGCTATGAATCCTTGCGACCATCCGCATGGTGGTGGTGAACTAAAAGCGGGAGTTGATCATGCTTCACCACCTAGTCCCTGAGTAAAAAAATTTTGGGTAAGAAAACTCGGCAAAAAATAAATCATCAAATAAATATATTATTTGTCGTCGTAAAAAACAAAATAATATGTCTCGTTCCTTAAAAAACCATCATTTGTTAATGAAAAAAGGTAGAAAAGAGGGTAAAAAATCTGCATTTAAGACTCGAGCCAGAGGCTCAGTAATTAGTCCCGAAATGATTGGTCATACCTTACTTATATATAATGGTAAAAGTTTCTTAGTCGACGAGTTACCCAAGACATGGTAGGTTATAAAATTGGTGTCTTTGCTCCTACTCGTCTACTGGGCGAACACGGAAAAGGGGAACACACTAAAATAATTTATTATATGGAAAGAAATAAAAACGAACATGAAACATATGGCAGGGAGAGAGAGAGAGACGAAATTCAAAGCATTAACAAACACTGTGATAAAAAATAAAAAAGAATTAGAAAGTGAGGAAGTTAGCTGTTGAAATAAAATACTTTATCACTTTTAATTATTGAACCTGCCATTGTCGTCGGCACTGTCTATTATTTTTGGTCACAAGTTAGTAGTGCCTCACCATTTTTTTAAAATATGGGGTTTTAGAACCTTCTCATAAATAAAGTTTATCAACTTTTGAATACTTTCTTTTGACGCTAAACTGACAATGATAAAGAACTTCTAAAGTACCAGCAAGAGGATTTCATCCAAATCAAGCTTTTCTAAATTCCTGTACTGACCAAAATAGTTAAATCAGTAGTGGTAAGTTGATTATTGCTAACATTTAATTCAACTAACTTATCCTTTTTTGGGCAAAACTAGATTTGTCTTACAGTTTAACCAGTAATATTACGTACAGTATGTGACAATAGTGCTCCAATCGGGTTGGGTCAAATCCGACCCAAAATATTTCGGGTCAGCTTAAAAATCGTTATTTCTCATTCAATATAATTCAAATTTAACGAAAATTTGAAGATATATACACAATTACATTACGAACAACTCTACTCAAGTATCTTAATAAAAATAAAAGTTATTAACGAAAAACTATTTTACGATTTTCGGAGCAAACCCGACCCGACCCGACCAGAACAGAACAGAAATTTACCGAATTAGGTATGAATAGCAGTTTCATTTACGTACTACGCTTGTTAAAGAGTACAATTATAGGTAAACTTTCACAAAATTCGTTGTCAAAATGTTCCCAACCACTCGTGTACAACGATACATCGTTTATTATATTATTGGAATGAAGGCATCTGTTCTGTGCCTGAATTATCCAAATTCACCAAGTTACCCATTTCTACTGATGAAAAGCTCAAAAAACTGTCACTTTGAATCATAAATATGGTAATGTTCATCCAAAGAAAATAATGGTCAATGTAACAAAAACTGTTGATTAATCTATTCGTCGAGATACCATGATATCATTGCATTCGATTGCCACTAAACTTAATAACCGTGATATTGATCTGTCTTATCATACAGTTGGCAGACATTTGAAATTGCTAGGATATAAAAAAATTGTTAATAACCACGCCAATGTTAACGGAGACTCATAAGCAGAATTACGTTGAATAAGCCAAGCGTCACCTAATGATAATTGGAAAAAAACTCCTTAATCCTATAGAAAACTTATGGATCATTGTTAAGAGTAACGTCGAGAAATGAAAATTTGAAGAATTTGGAGAAGTTCCTGATAGAGGAATGGAATTCTATTTTCAAAATCAGTCATAAATAATTTTGTAAATCAAATGCAATGTCTTGTGAGTTAGTTATTGAAAATGAATCAATTTTTAAGGCCTAACAAAGTTTATTTTGTGGCTTTTCACTTTTACTTTCAAACAATAAATTGATTATTGGATTTGATGTAATTTTCATGAATTTATAATGAATTTATGTAGTAAAATTAGATTTTTTTGTCACACACTATATATACTAATTTTAAATCAAACTCAAACTTCTATAATTATCCAATTCAAGTTTAGTTTGAACTTTGAATTTTGTTTGAATTCAAGCCAAGTTTAGTTCAAGTTTGATTCAAATTTTAAATCAAACTCAAACCCAGACAAAAGTCTAATTTAGTTTGGTTTATAAGAATATTACTTTTAATTATTTATATATTATATACAATTTATATAACTATTAGTTATTGTATATATATTTTTGTTGCTTTATGCATTTAACAAATAGTTTCTCTTTGGCAACTTTCTAATTATATTGTTATGGTAATAATATTAAACTTGTTAATTTTATAATTTTCAACAACAAATTATAAAGTTATAAAAGTTATATGAATAATTCATCAATTTTTTAGTTATTTTTTATATCAATATTTTACTTAATTATTTAAAATTACTTTCTTTATATATTTATATTTTTTTTAATTTTTGATTTTTCTATTTAAGCTTTAATTTAATATATTAAAACATGAGAATAAATAATATAATAAACAAAAATCTTTTATCTTTATATCATATTTCTCTTTAATTATATACTATAAACTTGTATACAAATAGCTTTAAATTATATTAAACTAATCAAAATATTATTATTAAAATTATTAAATTGATATTTTCATTATTATTTAGTTATTTGATATTTTATTATAATTATATTATTAATATTTTTTATTTATTAAAAATTGTTACAATTATGTTATAAAATTTGTTAATTCCATAATTTGTAATATTTTATGAAATTATGAAAATTATGTAAAGAACTTATTAGAACATTTCACAATTTTCTTATATATTATTAATTATAGTATTCATATACTTTTATTTTTCTATTTCATACTCCTATATTTTTTATACTTTTTCTACCTTGTACTCCTATATTTTTTATATTTTTTATACTTTTTTTACTTTGTATTCTT